GCGGTGAGGAGAGCGGCGTCCCCAATGATAAAAAGCGCAGCGACGTTTCGCATTAGTGATTTTAACAATAACATTGAGCCCACAGCCCCATACACACACAACAGCCCCTTTATACGGAAAGCACACGGGTCTCAGAGCTCAACAGTACTTTGGGCGGACACCAAATACGTAAAGTAAATTATTTGTGTTAGGTCTGGAGCAAGTTTTCCTCTTTCGCGTGTGCCTTCGCAAGTGGCCATTGACTTGATTTGAATGTTTTAGTTGTAGAACCAACCCTAAACGCTCATTCTGGCCAAACAACCCGCAAGCCTATCTTTTACTAGGTATATTCGATGATTTTACTGAAATAGTCTCATTCTAATACAGTCTATTAAAGCGGTCAGTTCTTTTTGATGGCAGCATATCGGCAAGATCGCTACAGCAGGCTTTGTCCCATTATGGCCTTCCTGGATTGAGTCCAGGACTGTGCTTAGAATTTAGTGAATTTGGTTTTCATACCCCTTCCGGCTTTGAAGAATGCTGAGGTTGAAGAGTGCCGCCAAAAATTGCTACTAGCTGCAGGGAGCCATTTGGCCCACTGCAAGACCACAAGAGGCTAATTCGCTCAATCGGCAACCTTCTCACTTGGCGGGAATCTCTCCCCAGCTCCTTCAGCAATGTCCAAAACTGGATAATGTGAAGGAACCACGCGACAAAAGACAAGACAAGACATTCTTGGATCAGCGCATTTTGAAGGCTTAGGAATAATCAAAATCGCGCATTAGCAATTTTGCCGAGGCGCTGTCTTTAACCAAGTGAAGCTCCACGCAATTAAGTCAATGTGTTCTACTGTTAGCATAAAATTCTCTTAAACTTTCTCATCATCGCCAGAGTACAGTACTAATCCAATTGCGTTTAATGTTCCGTTACATCTGCTACCGTCGTTACCGTAGGAAATGTCTTTAATTAACATATCAGTATTCAACAAAAGACGGCATACATCCCGTTCGTTCGTTGACTAACAATAAGACCAATTCATGTAAAAACCACTAATCGGGACTTTATTGCTGCAAGGACAACTGACTCACATATGTAAGAGCGGTAAGGTGGCAACATATCAAAACGGTTGTGGACGTAATAGAGTGACGTGGGTAGCCACTGTATACGTTTAGCTAAGCCTCAAACCCCCATCTTCTGTATAGATGTTTTACCAAACGGTAATCAATGTTAGAGTTAGATGGAAGAATTGCTAGGATTTTCTTTACTTTTTTTTCACTTTTAGTAGGTGAATGGGAATGTTAGAGAAATTTGGATGTTTTTCTGACAACCAGCTTAAATTTTTACCAGTATGATCGTCCGGCTACGCCGGACTCTCATACTTCTTGTTGTATATATTCGTGGAAATACATGTGACAAGAGTCCAAACACATGTGGGGTCGGTCGAATATGCACAAAAAATCCAGCATGCTTGGAATTAATGTATTTTTGAGCCAAACATTCTCAAAGATTTCGAATTTCTGGCAGGCTTGTGGGTTTGTGCCTCAAAGTTGAGCAGAAAAATGGTTTGATGTTTCACAGAATTTTTTCTACGCATGAAATATACGCAAACTGGTTTTATCGTAACAAAGAATTGGCAGTTTTGATCCTTTGACATGATTTGTCCACATTTTACCGTCAAATTTCCACAAAGATATTAAAGACTATACGTATACTCAAAGTTCATCCAGATCGGCGTGAAACGTGCAATTGTTTGGAGATAGTGCGCTCCAATTGGAAAAACCGTGCTCTAATCGAAATGGCGATGGAGCGCACTAGCAACTCCTCCCAGGTCCGAGCCCTTTTACGGGCGTTCTCCAAAAGCACGTTTTTCCCATTTTCCGCTTTTGATGGCTGTGCTTTCACCAAATATTACTCAGACTTAAGAAGACGAATCAGGCTTAAAACATTCTCATGGAATCTACGAGGTTTAGGCTATCGATTCATATAAATAAGGTTCGCTAAAAATGTTTTTTTATATAGTTAAAGGCAGTGGATCGGCAAAATCCAACAACTCGGAATTTTAACGCGATAGGTTCCTTATCGCCCAACCATCAAAACAGTGCAATCCCAGTTGCACAGCATGCTTTCCCTGCCCAGAAAATCGCTCTCGAAGTTACACGCGCAGGCCAGTCTTACACGCATCTGGACGAGTTGGCAATTCCCTTGTCACCATTGGAAGATGCCCGCGGCAACGCTATATAACCATTGGGTTCTGCCACGATTTAGCGTCATCGGCCTTGCTCCACTCGTCCAGTATCAAAGGAAAGAGCGTTAAAAACGCTCATTTTCGCCGTTTTCAAGGTTTCAAGAGTGGATTTTCGGGATTAGCCTATTGAAAAACCCCGGGTAAGCGCAAATTTGACTAGGCTGAGATTTGCCGAGCCACTGCCTTTAATGGGGTGTGGCACCATTCTGAAAAAGCTGGGCAGCCACAGCTTTTAAGGGGGTGTCCACACCCTATTAACTATGTCATGAAAACATTTTTAGCAAACCTTGTTTATATGGATCGATAGCCTAGATCTCCTAGTTTTCACAGGAGTGATTTGAGCCTGACTCGCTTTCTTTGCTCTGAGTAATAGTTGGTGAAAGCACAGCCATTAAAAGCGATGGGAAAAATGAGATTTTAGTTGGCTTCTAATTCCACTGTTTGGAGGTCTTTTGAAGCGGAATTTCTGAGTTGGACAAAGAAGGTGTAGTGCTTTGTCTTGAGTGCAAAAGCGGATAGCTAATTCACCTTTGAACAAAGTTAATCATGTTGGAAAATGATTTCACTTAGGTAGCCTAGATCTTGAATCTTCAGAATTCGCTCAAACTTTGTCTACAGGGGTTAATTGACATGCTCATTAGGATATGTTGCCCATTATGTTCGACAGGGCCTTCAGGTAATGCTATCTTAGGTATATAATTCAGGGGGCGGGGGTCGTAACGCGATCGTGTGCCACACCCCTTCCTTGACCCTGTTCATGAGTAAATTCTAACGTCTTTCCCTTGATTATCCATTAGGTTCTTGTAAGAACATGTTCGAGCAAGATTGAACAACACTAGTTCAAGCATGTTTTTTCACGAATGTCCAAGAGAGCTTCACCAAAACGCGTTAAAACGCACTCATAAACTTGTTAATCAGAAGTTAGCAAAGCGTGCTCGCATCTTTTGTGGAGGCTGTCATGGGGCTTACAACGACAGGCAACGCCTGCAACCTCAGCCACCGCTGAAACGGCGGTCGGGCAGGAGGCAGCAAAGGCCTGCCGCTTCTGCTTATGGAAGTACCTGAGGAGCTGCAGAGTTCCTCGCGCTTCTAATTACTTCTTCGCACCTCTAAGAATCTATTCGATGTGACCTATGCCTGAGGGAAAGGGACTGAGGGAAATTGCAAAATTTTCAACTTGATCTAAAGTAAAATACTCTTCAAGAAGCTTTTTATTTGATTTTCTTGCTTGTAATGTAATCAAAGGTGCGAAGAATGATTAGGGGCGCGAGAAAGTCTGGGGCTCCTCAGGCACTTCCAGAAGCAAATGCGGCCAGCCTTTCGCCGGCAACCCCGGCAACATCGGCAACCGTTGCCGGCAACCTATGGCCGTTCCCTTAGTCAGAGTATGAACAATATTTATGTATCTTTACTCTGCGGATTTCCGGGTAGGTGCAAAAACGAAAAAACACCGACTTAACTTAATGCATACTGTTAGAAAGCTCATAGAAAGGGAATTCCACATAGATTGTCGCTTTTTTTTTTTCAAAGCCCTCCTCCACTGAGAGAAAGTGACATTTTTAGCGAATTTTTAGACAAAAAATGAACAGAATGCTTGATTGTATGTCAGAAAGACTAGGGCAACAAAAGTAAACCGTATTTTTTTCGCTACATTCCTGCCGGAATTGGAACGCAAGGCGAATACACGATATCATCAGCTGATATCGTGCCTAGATGAATTCCTTCAAAAACTGCGCGACTGCCATGCTCTAATGCTAACGACGTCGTCGTCGCTCTCCACCTTGCACACATAAGCAAACCAAAAACTCTGTAACCTTGTACAGCATCTCTTTTACGCATCTCATCTTATTCGTCATTGATATGACAGAGTTCTCGAGAACGTTGTCCACGTTGTTTAACAGGATCACATGTTTTGTCACAAATTTCTAGCGATACTTCATTCAGAACGCTTGACATAAGCAGAAACCTGTTAGTCAAACGTACGCCAAGCGTTTTCGAGTATCCTGGTCTCAATATGAATGTTGCTCAATGTGCTGGTGGTGATCTCATGACACAAACATTTTGTCGAACTTTCGCTGCTTCTCAACCACGTCACTGATTTCAAGTGAGACTCCTAGTTCCCCCTCCCTCTTCCAAATGCCACTGCGACTGTTTCTGTCAACACAGCTGTATCTCATCATGACTATTTGAATTTTCACTTACTACTTCATAATCTGACGGTAAGATGCCAGCGCAGTTACCGTCCTGAAAGCCCGTAACCAGTTCGGCTATTCTTGGCCACTAATTCTCGAGAAGAGAAACAAGTTAGACTGTGTTCATACTGATCCGTAAGTTCCGGAACAGTTCCAGCACAGCGCACTGTTTAATGGGCTGGAACAGTTCCGGAACTTACGAATCAGTATGAACAGCCTCATAGAACGATGCGAAATCCATATAATCGAGCTCGCAGTCTGTTTTCTCATGGTTTAGTTTTCTTTTGCGCAATCAGAGTAACTATGCAATAGCTACAGGTTCCCACATCATTTGGAATTTCATAAAAACACTGAATATCGACGTAATGCTTACGCACTTTCATGATGAGCCAGAACTCGAGTCTAGGTCACTTTTCGGGCTTCAATGAACACATTGGCTCATGTCCTCTGCCCTGCTTCCATCCCACTTTGCCCTTCAGTCTTCATTCTTCATCTTTTCGTCACGTAATGCTTGTCATTCCCACTCCATTCTCACGACCTTCAATGATAGCAATTGGAAAGGAAAGCTTAGAATAAAGTCTTTCAGCCTCCCTTCATGCGGTTTCATTCATTGCCACGTTTGGGTACGTGGCATGTCGAATAATTTGCTCCACTGTGACAGCCGCGCGCCGCGGCATTTCGTGGCTGGTCTCGTGCAGAAGTAAGCCTTCAACCTTTAAATTCAATTTTTTCGGGCCTAAATCGCAAATATCTTTGCAAGCTTCGTTTATACTTCAGTTGTTACATCACCACAGTGTACTTTCAGAGACATAATGGAGGCCTGAAGACAGTTTTTTTACGCGCCACAAGGCCAAAATTGGGGCAGCTAGTAGCGGTGAGTTGCATGTCGATGTCATTCGTCATTGCACATTCATTTCTAGGTGACTGTCCGTTTTCTTCTTATATGAGTGCTGTCGAGCAATGGATGATAGCTGGGGTTGTGAACAGGGATTCTTCGAAGCTTCGCCGTTTGGTGGTTCGCAGTCACTCAGCGAATTAGTTGAAGGACTTGTTGCAAGAAAAGCGAATGTGAGTTGTTAGTTTCTTTTATTTGAAGTATACTCTCCATGGTGCTTACGACTATAAAGACTTGTTGCATGTTTTCACAACTAGGTGTTCATTAATCACTGGTTGACAAATGACTTTCGAGTCTCCATTCAGTTGTCGTGGTCATTTCAGTGCTCACAAACGTTTCACTTTACATATCTGTGTCACAAGCAGAGCCTATATTAGTGCATGCACTTTAGGTCGTGATGAATCCTAGTATGGTCCACCTTACATCGATTAGCTTTAGCCCAATTCCACCATCAGCGTAGGCGCGTTCGCAGTAGGGCCATTCGTATCCGCTTCATCCATCCGCTATCGGTTAATTCAGTAATTTGACCAGCGAACTGGGTGAACCGGAAAAACCGGTTGAACCGGATAAGTCAGGTGCCTGCCAGAGAGGCCAAGCTGAAAGTAATTTGGCACAACAGATTTCTACACTACTTTTCCACGCTTTTTCGCTTTTTTCATGCTCAGTGTTGCAGAAGGTGGCAAATAGGCTATGTAGGTTCAGAATCTAAAAGCGGTGGCGGCTTTGGACCATACTTATCATGGTGGGGTCATTTGTCTCTGTCTTTTTGGCTTGACGATTCGGAAAAGAAAACTCTCACGTCTTATCAAACGAAGAATCAGTTTTGCAGTTTAGTACAGCATCGCTTTGTACCATGTATCGTTTGTTACCCGCAGGATTCCCATAGGTACCACGTCATCTCGCTGCTTTTCACACTTTTTAACGTGCACCTCGGGCACTTCCGTTGAAATCTCAGGAGGGCGCTATTCGGCTATCCGGGCCCCAAAATTTTTTGGTCATGGATTTCGCTCAAACTTGGTCCAGGGGGGTTATCTGACATGCTGATCACGAATGTCACATTTTCTCCGCACTAAAACGCCTCCCTGTATGGTTACGGTAGGTTTACGGTATGGGTCAAAATCAGAAATCGGCAAATGTATCTTCCCCTGTGCTTTGCTTAGGCAAAAGCCGCGGCAGAGTGTGTAGCGCGCGGCGGTGGTCGTGTGTGCAAAGCTTCACAATCGTCCGAATCGTCGTACACCCGTTTCAGAACTATGCTTTACACCCGTTACCGTGTAGCTACCGTAACCCGGGAAAATGACGTTATGGTTCAAAGCCAATGTGATATTTAGCATCAGCGGGCCGACGGGCCGAAAAACCCCTCTAGGCCAAGTTTCGGGCAAGTCCGTGATTTTGACCCTCTACCGTAGTCCTACCGTAACTCCATCGGATGGCGCTATCGCACGAGATAAACATCATATTCGTGTTCAGCGTGCCAGATAACCCCTCTAACGAAGTTTCGGGCAAATCCGTGATTTTGATCCCCTACCGCATACCTACCGTAACCCTGCAGGGAGGCATTTTCCTGCGGAGAAAAGGTGATATTCGTGATCAGCATGTCAGATAACCCCTCTGGGCCAAGTTTGAGCGAAATCCATGCCAAAAAATTTTTGGGGCCCGGATAGCGGAATAGCGCCCTCAGGAGAAACGTGTCGAAAGGAGCGAAAGGCAGCGTCGCACCACGTACGCACACTGACTCACATAGGAACCTCTCTGGGGCGCAGACGGTATCTCTGAAAAATACTCGACAGCGCTCTGGGGTGAAGGAACGAACACCTCAATTAGGTACCGCCTCCGCGGGCTGCTGGTCCTTTCGCCCTACTGTTATGCATCGTGTTGAGACCAATAGTCCCAACACGATGCATAACAGTAGGACGAAAGGACCAGCAGCCCGCGGAGGCGGTACCTAATTGAGGTGTTCGTTCCTCCACCCCACCGCTCTGCGCACTCCTATGCAACAAGTTCGTACTTGTGTTTCAACGTGTTCTGCTCAGTTTACCACTTTGAATTCGTGACTAAACTTGTTCAAGCTTGTCAGACAAATGTGTGCAGCGTTCCCAAGTATCCAGGTCACAGAATAGATGATAAGCGCAATTTTTTCGACATAATTATCATTACTTTCAATTTTTCGCCCGTCATTTGAATAAGTGCCCAAGTCTAGCATCCACATCCGTTATTTCTCTCTTAAGTGGATCTCTCGATCTGATTGAATTTCTGCTTGAGCATGTATAGGGAAATGTGTCTCTAGCTTTTCAAATGTAATTTTTTATTTCAGGGTAGCGATGCAGCTGATTACACAAATCCAGCAAATGATGGGGTTCAAGTAGTACCTTGTGTCATCAGAAAGAAACTACGGTTCGCTCCAAAAATCCTCAAGAAGAAAAGCACACTCAACAAAGTGTCAAGTGAACCCAATCTGAAACACGTCAGGTTCGAGGTGTGTTTTTATCCTACTCTATGCTTTGTGCCTTTTGTAGGACTTCCCTCGACTAGCAGATCCTGTTCTAGGTTGAACAACTACTTGCGCGAGAAGGGAACGTTGAGGACCGAAATGTAGCCCGCGAACGTCTCGTCGTAAGTTCTTGCCACGACAATTGACCCAGATTGATGTCTCAACGCAATGAGAAGTAGCATTTTTTTTTTGAAAGAAAACGTAGTCTGTCTCGCTAGTGCAGTGTTGGAAAGTATTTTAGAGGAGGAATCGAAATCTTTCGTTTCGTAATTTATGACTATTCAATTTTTGTGTATTCTCTCTAGTGGCGATAGACATGAAAATCTGTTTTAATCAGGGAACATGTGGAATTTGTCTTCTTCAAAATTTAGCGACCTCATAGGCTTGCTCATAGACTTAGTTTTCATGGAGCGTTCGAGGAATACTAATTCTCCATTCGCTGGAAGCTCATGCGTTTGCATCATTTTTGAAACTACGTTAACATTTCCAGTTTTCAGATAACATTAGTTGAAGGTGAAATACTTGCAATTTGTGAACTAACTGCATGCGTAGTCGCCGACAAATTAGCCTTCGATTTTTTACGTTCGGGAAGTACATCACAGTGGCTCCGAGCCATCAAAATTCAGTGCGGTGTGACAAAAACGATTGCGAACAAACGACCTGTATCCTGGCCTAGTGGTCATAGGGAGTGGATAATCATCATCCCAAGGCGGTGACCTAGGGTCTACATCGGTTGAGAAAAGCCAGTCTGTTTTAGTAGGCGAACCGTTTTGTGGGCTGTACTGTACTAGACACAAGAAATCCTACGTCACTGTTTTGTCGTGCTGATCTGCATATAGAGCCATCCATTCTTTTAGTTATCAGTAGTGTAAGCAAAAGGAAAAAGTTATAATGGACATTAGTTGCCCTATTGATTGAATGTGGATAGTTTCGGCCCCATTTTTTGATTCAATACAGTCAAGTATATTGTGACACACCTTTATTGCAGCTCTTGCTACTTCATATTGGTCTTGCAGAGTACTGGAAGTAGCATTTTTTTTTCAGGTGTCATTGGGAGGAAATGCACCGAAAGGTGCGCCTGTGAATTACAAGGTTCTTAAAGAGCAGCGGAAGAAGCAGAAGAGTGACGAAGCAAAGAAGGCTAAGGAAATGAGATCACTACTTCAAGTCAGTGCGAAGAAGAAGCACAAAAAGTAGAGGCAGAGAATCAGCTAGCGTAGTCTGTGTCAACATCGGAATAAAGGAGAAGTCGCGCTGGCGTGTCTTCTTGTGTAGTTTATGTATAGCATGATTAACTATCCGATCTTTGAATAAAGAAATTCTTACCGTTGTTTCATTCGTGTGATAATCGCAGTTGATCTTCGAGAATACTGTTATCATTTGCAAAACTCAAATCTGAACGTGTTGCTTGCCAGCGTGGATGCTGTATTGATAGAGTTAAAGTTAGATTACTTTGTGCGTTTCAGGAATTCAGTCTGGTCGGTGTTTTTCTCAGAGGATTGTCTCTGTTTACGCCATTTGCATTGTCATAGTATCACCATCATAAAGCGAAGTCTCGCAGGCACTACTTTGTCATCCGGTTTCTATTCATTCTTAGCCGTCTCTCTCTTGAAGTTCTTTATGCGAAGGACATTCCAACGTTTTCTGTCACGTTTGATGGCAATGTAAAGATTTTGCTAGCAATGTGAATCAGTGCTCGTTATCAGTTACCAAAGTGCTGAAAACTATACATTGTCCTTGCTAACGCTACATTGCGAGGGAATTGCTTACGTTTACTCGCAAAGTCAGGGAATCATTTCCGTTATGAAAAGAAAACGTTTTACAGAATGCCTCGCTCACGTTCTCGCTCAATGAGCAGAAGCCGCTCACGAAGCCGCTCAGGATCCCCAGCTAAAAACGGCAATGGAGTGGTATGTATCTCATTACTATAGTCTTACCTAAGCTACCATTATCAATCGCGAGCTTGCACGTTCTGTTCGGCTGTCATGCACATCCTTTGTGTTTCACCTAGTCGCTGGATCATTGAAGGCGTTCTTTAGTGGGCCGGTTAGTAGGGGGTGTATATGGCACAAATCCAACTTAGAAGCCTAAAGGCGAAGCTAAATAAGTTGACTGGACCGTTTGGGCGGCTTTTTTTTTGCACCAAAAGAGAATGAAATCATCGCGATGAATTCGTTCTCTTTTAAATCCAAAATCCGCTTTTTGCTTACACTCACTAAGAGAAAAGATCTCGAAGTAGAAAGGATGTTTTGGAGTATGTTTTACGTTAAGCCCTGCCAGTATCTTGAGCTAAATTCGCCTTCCTTGTTGGCAGTGCTATGCGCCAATGAAAAACTCAGTCTTTAGCTGAATGATCCAATGATTTGAGGAAACTTGGAGGATTAGGCATTGACATCGTTTACAACTGCAAATAGTTTGCGAAGCGATTGTCTCTAGGTGCCAATAGGACTCCACATGAATTTCGAGATTATCACTATTCATAGCCGCTCAATAGTACGCTATCGAGGGATTTTCTCGCATCCGATGTTTCTTTGGGAAGCTTGCATGCTTTGGACGATACAGTTTTGTAAACGATGTCTCTGCTAGTCTGTATTCGTTAATCTTCCCCATGCATGATGCTTGCTTTGAAAAATAATCACTGAAATAACTGTGATGCCTTGCTCGCTACCTATGTTGTGTTCAAGTAATGACAGCAAAGGAAATAGTGATGGTGTAGTCATCAAACTGGAATAGAATGTTAGAGTGGATAGATTTGAAGGGCCAAAAATCTATAAAGGGGTTTGACAGAATCTCCCACACGTGCTTTCGCAACCCGAAAGAGAGTTGCATTTCAATTCGTCGGTTGTTGTTGTTGATAGCATTCTCTCCTTTTGTCCAAGTCCAACTCATCGTCATTGGAATCATTTTTGTATCACTATTACCTTTTTCATCTTCACGCATGCTTGGTGAATCGTTCCTGTGTTCCTGTGTTTCTCCGAGCTTAGTTGAATTTTACGTTCGGTATTGCATGGGTTGCTTACCTGAAATACTTTATAAAATCGAAAAGACTTGTCTCGTTTTTTTTCACTCGAGTGGGCTAAAATTGCGCCAAACACCGCCATTTTTGCATGATAGTATTACAAAACATATTTTGGTTCAATCCGGAATGCGCCAATGTGTAGTTCATGCTTTTTTTCCACTTTCGCTCATTGTGAGAACCAACTAGGAAAGGGTTTGACTAGACGTGGCCTTTTCCAGTAAGATGTATATCAATCAAGAATCCATTGAAGGTTGATTACGAGATAATTTTTCACAATGCTTAACCCCTTACTGGACATAAAGTTGGATATTTTTCTTCTTCTAAATTGCATGATCAGGTACTGTTTGAGAAATCTGATTTTGCAGTGAATGCACTGAAATTGTGCGCTTGGAGCAACAAGCAAACAATTTCAGTGTCAGCTAAACCATAACGAACGCCTGTATAGTTAATTCGTTGACCGCACGGACTGGACATCGCTGCGGAACACGCACCGCGAGGTAAAACGCTTGTCTTAGTACAAATTTGCCATTGTACAAGCCGTGCTCTTGCGACAATTCAGCCGCGCCGCACTGGTCCGCAGCGTTTAAGCAGTCCGTGCGGTCATTGAATCAACGATCTTCCTATTCAGGCGTTTAACAGATTAAAACGCGGATCTTGGATCTGTTTTAGTGAGGTTATTGTGGTGTATCACATCTTGTTAGGAATTGCCGCTTCGAGTCAAATGCCTTATATTCGAGCATTCGCACTATTGCTTCTCGCTACTATCACCACGTTGTGCTGTGTAGTTGTTTGCTCGAATGCAAGCTTTCCCTATCCTCACTGTCTTGCACAAGAGTGGGTTGAAGTGGGTGATTCTTGCACATTTTGCAGCTGACTAACGCTTTTAACCTTCAGCTGTATCACATCTCAGTTTTACGATTCGCCGACTACTGCCTCTGATTTTGTTATTCTAACCTGCTTCAGTATATTCATCTTATTTGGGGATAGGTTTCGTATTTGCCAAACAACTGTCGAACACTCCGTTTTTGTTTATTGGTGTTTGTCCGTGAGGATCTCGAACTCATTCATGGTTGGCGAGTTAGAAGAAGTCGCGAAGAAAATGAAGACTTGAGGCCCAATGAAAATAAGAAGTAAGAAGAAATGTACAGAAGCGGAGCTTAATACAAGTTGTCATCAAAATGAAGATTCGTCATTGTGGTGAGTACACGCCATTGAAAAACAAAGTTCTCGAATGAGAAGTCAGAATAAGTTAGAGTACACAGAATAGTTCTCATCGTGTAGGGTGTCTTCACAGTAATAAAGAATGCGACATTTGAGTCCAAGGCATGGTGTTGAGTACAAAGTAGATGCGCGAACCTTTTGCTGTTTTGGTGAAAGTTTAGGGTGAAGTTGTTTTCGTGGTTGTATGGCATACATAAACAGCTAACAAAAATGAGCTTACTTTTTTCAGCGCGTTAGGTCCATGTCTCGAACAGCGTCGAGATCAGGATCGCGTACTCGCTCCCGCTCTCCGGTGAAGTCCTACTCGCCCCGCGACAGGCGCGAGCGCTCCCGTTCGCCGGCGCGGCGCTCCAGGTCGCGTTCGCCTTCTCGTCGTGGGAGACGTTCTTCTCGTTCTCCGTCGCGAAGTGTGAGCCGTTCTCCGTAAGTTATTACATTTTGTTATGTTTGTGTGATTGCTTTACGTCCATGATTGCATGCATAGGGCTTTGAAAAATATGAATATCCTTGAAGACTTTGGAAAGTATGAATATTTCCGAAGACTTTGAAAAGTATGATTATCTCCGAAGACTGAAAAGTATGAAAGTTTCTGAAGAAGTCAGTTCTGACACAGAAATTCGATCAGAACTATGAAGTCTTTTTTGCGCATCTCAGAAGATGCAAGAATAGTATGATGAAAGACTGTCTTGGAAATGATTTGAAAAATTGGATGTCGGAGCTATCACTTAGTTTTAGGCGGCGTGACAGCAGACGCTCACGCTCTCGCAGTCCTCGTCGTCGTGACAGCTATGCGCGCAGTAGGCGTGACAGTGACGATAGGTACGACAGGTAGATTCTTTTTCCTTTTTCTTACACTTTCTGCATCAGTTCAAATGAACTGTTCTAGGAGCGGTGGATGGAGAGGACGCAGATCGAGAAGAGACGACCCGGATCCCTCCAGGTAAGGCACCTGCCATAGTTGATCCGCTTAATCCACTTGATCCGCTTGATCCGCTTAATCCGCTTGATCCGCTTCATGCAAAACGATGTACTAAGTTGTCATCTGGCGTCGCGTACAGAGAAATTTTCTTAACCATACAAAATTCCTTCTTACCTAGGCGGCGCCAAATGACAAACTGTTTATGCGCGCGTTTTGCACGAAGCGGATCAAGCGGATCAAGTATGGCGGGTGCCTAAGACTATTAGAAATTTTCCTTTTATTTCAGTAACGGAGAAAGATGTTCCATGTTCATTATAACACGGGTATATGTCTCGTAGTCGCAAGTATAATTCTTACGTAGAGATTACTGCTCAGTGGCTCAGTGGAGTCCTATTCCGAGTAGATGCATGAAAGCGTAAAACTCTTTGCGAACGTCATGAAGCATATTTCGAGTGCGAATGCCAGTATCGCTTTGGAAGCTCTAGCGCGCTGCGCGCAAACCTTCTTACCCACTTTATCTAGGGAGACCCTGGCCGTTATGCATTGAGTAGCATTCTCAAAAACCACATGAATTAGCATTCTTTTTTAGGTGCCTTGGCTGTTTCAATTTGAGCGTCTATACCACTGAAAAGGATCTGCGAGAGCTGTTCGGAGAGTTTGGAGAAATCGAAAAAGTGAGACATTTTTCATCTTTTTTGGCTTTTAACAAATCACTTCCATATCCTAACTGTAATTTTCTATCAGGTGGAGCTTGTTTATGATCATCCCACTGGCCGCTCACGTGGCTTTGGTTTTGTATATTTTGAGCGTCTCGAAGATGCTTGCACAGCTAGAGATAAATTGTCTGGACAAGAGATAGATGGACACAAGGTAAGTTCTTTCTTTACTGGTCTGCTTCAGCTAAGAGATAACTCTATACTTAGATTCGCGTTGACTATTCCTTAACCAAAAGAGCACACACTCCTACGCCTGGGCAGTACATGGGTGCTATTCGTGGTAGTCGAAGGAACTACGGATATGGCAGTGGAGGTTACAGGTAAGTATTGTTATTCATTCACTTTTATCATTGCATGTCGAAATGCGCAAGTTAGGCAGTTATTATTAGTTTTACATTTTTTTGATGGGTCAGTAATTGACACTGTGTGTATTTTCAGAAGTGAACGTCGAGAGTCTTATCGTGACGGGTACGCGGGCCGAAGCAGCCGGTATGACTTTTAGATCTGTAGAAAGTCCACATGAAGTTCTAAATATCGATGTTCTACAGCCGTCGAACGCCATCGCCGCCTCGTCGGGAACGTCATCGCTCTCGCTCCTATGATTAATCAGGTGTAGCTGCTAATCAGCTGTCAAATAATTCTGTTAATAAAACGGTGGACATTCCCGCACATTTTTTTCCTCCTATGCAATTTCTTTAGCATATTCTCTTTAATTTTTCTCTTGTTTTTCTTTTGCTTTGGTTTATCGTATATTAGCGTTTACTCACAGTGGTCTCCACATCAGCGTGTACTGCAATGTATATTTTTTTGTGTTAGTGGTTAGAATAAATGTTGCCTTTAAATGGTCACCATGTATGACATATCTCATTATGCCTGGTGCGATTTGGGGTCTTCTTTTCTCCGCCATGTATACACCACCTCGTGATCAGATTGAGCTTCTTTTTCAAATTATTTTACCGAGCGCAATTATCAGCGCAAATAGAATATCACAGAAGTCGTACAAGGGAGGGATACTTGGTGACCGTGGCATTTTGATGAAACGTGCACCATCAAAGGCAGTGGTTGGGGAAAATTGCAACTGCACGCTTTCTGTTCTCCCTTGGCCTGGATGCGTTCAGAACAGAGCTGTGCTTTTTATGGCGTTTTTCGGCCCTGGAGATTGCTGAGGAGGCTGGAACGGAGAATTCCGCTAAAAACAGCCTGGGTGCGGGAGAATGTAACACCATTCATCTTGGCGGCAGTTGGCTGATAGGCCCAGGCACGCAATCGCAATTCGGCTGCGGGATTCTCCGCTCTAGCCTCCTCAGCAGTCTTTATGGCAAGACGCCATAAAAAGCACTTTTTTGACTTTTCAAGCATAGCTCTTGTCTAAACGCATCCGGAAGGCCAAAGAAGAACAGAAAACGCACAGTCGCAATTTTCCCAAGCCACTACCGAATGCATCTTGAAGCGCTGATTCCAAATATGCTTTCGGGATCTGCTATGGCTCTTGAAAGAAGTTGTGAACATTTCTCGCCACCAAAATTTGCAATGTAGTTAGAATGTTGCGAATGACAAGCTGGAAGTCGTTTTGAGTAAAAAAAAGCAAAAAGATATCGTTTTCGTCTCTGAGCCTTAAATCGCGCCGCCGCTGATTCCCGCACGCGCGACGTCCCTCAATCGGAAGTTGGAACAGCATACATACCTCCCAGTGTATACGTAGTGGTATGGCATCAAATCGTAAATAACCAATATAGGAAAATTTTCTTGAATCCAGTGCCTGCTGTACTTCCGTTCAAAATCAATTTCAAAGACATAGTGGCCGTGGCATGCATTTGAAGTTCCCAGTTTTTTTTCTCTTTTTTGATGGATTGGAATAAACTTGAATGCAGCTACTAAAGTGGACATGAAATTGTGCCAATGTCCAAACACTTCAAGTTGCAGAATAGATTTTGAGCCTCGAGAGGATACACCTTTGCACTTCCAGAAAGTGATGGTGCGGCAGTTCCAATCAAAGAACATTTTAGACTCGAAAACTTGTTAAAGTAACACGATTGCAACCTTGCGTAGCACAAATTTTGAATAGAAAATACCAGTGATCTAGAAATTACAGCAGTGCAAACTCAAGCTACTTTCGGGAAACTTGACTTTTCGAGCTTGTTTGTAGGAAAAGCTGATACTTTTCCAACAAGGGAAGTTCGCTTGGTCGAAGCGGCGATTTGGAAGATGATCTACCAGCGGATAGAGCTTGAAACGCTGATCTCAATTATACTTCTTATCTGCGACGTGTTTTTCCATAAGAGGTCAAGAACTTTTCCGTATTTATGGTGGAAGTGTGGTTTAGAAAAGGAAATGACGACCTAAGGACATGGCTGTACAAAACTCGAAAACGTTTAGGCATATCAAATTGAATCTAGAATGCTTACTAGGCGGTTTCTTCAAGCCTACATACTTTTATGTGGGAGTTAATCGTGATTATGCGATTCAAACTGTGCCTCATAACTTTTTCCAACAGAAATCTTCTGATGTAGAAGGTATATCAGAAACTTATGGGAAAACGCGTCGCAGATACAAAGGGTATAATTGAGATCAGCGTTTTAAGCTCTATCCGCTGGTATATCATTTTCCAAATCGCCACTTCGACTAAGAGAACTTTGCCTATAAGAATCGTTTTTCCCAACAAAATTGAAAGATATTACGCTCTACGTTTGTTTCTCATCTTTCTAGGCTTTAAACAAGATGAAGGAATAAAAGCATCAAGTCAAGAAAAAAGGCAAGGGATGGAGCTACTTGTTAGAGATGCGGATTTATTAGAGTGGAGGTAGAAGCCATCAATATACTTTACAGACAAGTCCTAACATTATTTACTCCTGTCTATTCTTTTCGTCCAATCATATGGTTCCCATGCAGCTTTCATTGCATCGCACTTCGCTTTCAACACAGCAAAGTCTTGCGGTTTTCGATGTCTCCACTTGTTAGCTGGCAAATCGAGCATGCCAGCAATGATCTCCTGTAAGTTGCAATAAACACACGATTTCATATGCGGACGACTTATCCACTAAATTTTGCGATTTTTGAAAATTTCTATGCTATAAATGGACTCACATGGGCAAATGTTGACGGAAAAGTGTCATTGTGTTCGATTACATGAGCGAATCCGTTGCTTAGACCGAAATCCACCGCCAAGTAGCTGAAACAAATCATACAGCCACCATGACCATTGTGATCATTTTTCAATAAGTTGTTCCGTTATACCTAAAGCCCTTCGGTATTTGTCGCCGTAAGTCTTTGATTTCGATAAGTTTTTTGTTATCCGCATACTCTTCCTCGCATTCCAAAATCGCTTTCTGAAAAGAAAAGAAATACTTCTTTTCCTACTATGTCAGTATTACTAGAATAGTCAGAGGCAAGTAGAAGTACCACCAAAGTCCATTGTTTTTTTTTCGCGAGAATAAGTCAACGATAAATGTTTAGAGTGCTCCAAGTGTCTTAATGCACTAAGAAGACTGAGCACATTGTCTCCGAGACAGCTCATCTCAGAAACATGTTCTTGAAACCATTGCTATGCTACAGTTCTTATGATTTCTACCATATTTGTCCTTCTCAGACAGCGGATAGGACCCCTCCGCCGAAGAAATGGCAGGGTCGCGGCGTTTCCCCAGCGGTGGGTCTGCCACTCGTCCGCCGGAGCCCTCCCATTTCTGCTCCGGATACCTCCCATTTTCTGCTCCGGAGACCTCCCAATTTCTGCTTCGGATACCTCCCATTTGTGCTCCGGACCCCTCCCATTTTCTGCGGCGCGGCTCTTCCAAATCAGGCGGACTCGCGCCGGGCAAATTTCTCCGGCGCGGCTCTGCCAAATCTGGCAGAGCCGCGCCGGAGAAATGGCGTACCTTTGCGGCAGGGCCGGAGAAGCGTCCCATTTGCCTGCCAGTGATGCCACCGCGACGGACCGCCCATTTGCCCCGCTCTCATTGGTCAACTGGGTCCGGCGCGACTCTGGCAGATTCGGACTGTCCGGCGGAGGGGTCCGGTCGATTGTCTGAGTTCTTCTTATAACAAAAGACTTCGACACTTTTCGCATACTTAGAAGTGATTACAGTCATAAGAACAAGGGAAAGTGAAAATTGAACGGGTTGGTGAAAGACAGAATGATCCTTTCGACAATATTTGTTTCAAATTTCACACTCTAAATTTCACACTCCTGACAACGCAAGCAATGAAAATTTTGATTCGCAGTGCACCTTCTAAAAGGGCAAAAGATCAAGCAAGAAAAATTGTATTTTTGTCCAAGTGATGGCTGTTGTTGCTAATCGAAAAAATATTGCTAGATAGCAGAAGGATCCTGTCTTCATGTTCTCTAAGGGATGCGCCTAACGCATTCTATTACGCAGTCGAAGAGGCAATAATTGCGTGAGCCTTTGCAGTGACTTGTAGGGACCAGCCAATTAAATAGTCAGTGCTCTAACCCCCTCCATATTATTCTGGTACCAACATACCATCCTGAAAGTATGGGGGACTTGGTTGGGTCAGGGCGGGATCGAACCTCCTCAGACAGTCGAAGGCATACCTCCGGAGCAGAAATGGCCGAGCCGCGGGGTTTCGCCAGCGGGGAATTGCCACTCGTGCTCCGGAGCCCTTCCATTTTTGCTCCGGAGACCTCCCATTCTGATTTTGTGCTCCGGAGGCATCCCATTTTGTGCTCCGGAGCCCTGCCATTTTCTGCTTCGGAGGTGTCCCAAATCTGGCGTACCTACGGAGCGCAAATCTCTGCTCCGGGGCTCTCCCGAATCTGGCGTACCTCCGGAGCAGAGATTTACGCGTCGCGGAGAGAGGTCCCACTCGCCTGCTTGTGACGTCACCGTGACCTACAAGAAGGGACCGCCCCCTCGCCCCGCTCTCAATGGTCAATTGGGTCCTCCGCGGCTCTGCCAGATTTCGACTGTCATCCGGAGCTACGGCACCGACTGTCTGAGTCGTCCAACTTGGCCATACATCGCCTCATAACACTACGCCCCTCGTACCCTTTTACTGATTGATTGAGTTTAGTTATACAGCCATCACCAAGAACACTTTTCGACGATAGTCCATTCTTCTTCAAAAACAGAACTCGCAAACTTTTTTGTACTCATTGTATTCTTGTGTGGAAGGTAAGGAGATCAACGCAAGATGTGCTGCCGGTAGAGGCAACAAGAGAGAAAATTTAAAGGGCGCATCAAAAAGCAGGCGCTTTGGTGTGCACCAAAGCGTCATTGTGTCGTTCAATGAAAGAATGCTTTCTGCTTTTTTTTTGTATGAAATCAATGCACATCAAAAAAGATCATTTCGACGGTCTTAATTTTTGTAGGGGTGGGAGGTTCGAACAACCAGCACTTTGAACGCTTCTGAACTACTTATGTGAGGGTAAGTTACATTCCGCGTGAGAGGGTCGATAAACCCTGGTATTAGCAGATTGTCTTCTTTTAGCAGTGTTAGTCTTTTATTCAAGAAGCTATGTTACCTTTAGGTTAGATCAAATACTGCTTAATGGCAAGATAGCGTTTGAACATGTGAAGACCAAAAATAAATTTATCAGCATTTCGTTGATGATATCATAACAAAAGAAGTCAATCAACTGGATTTTGCAAAGAACCCCCCCCCCCCCTCCCCCTCCTCCCCCGATCGGTCTTACAATAATGCTTCGTGACTGAGGAAAACAGATTTGAGCTTAGGGCACCGAGCTGAGTTCAGCCACAGATGTCGTGAACCGGCCACCTTCACTCAAACCCAACTTATCGTTCTTTCTTGTGGGAATACGTACCCCATGAATGCAGTAGGTATGTGGAATGGAATGAGCGCAAAAGATTTTTTATGGAACACTTGTCATCCACTACAAATCATACAGACAACGAGGTACGCACCGGAACCTAAAGGCTTGCCGAACAAAAACTCCGGAATGTGACCTATATTTGCAACTACTATCGCTTCTAATTATTTGGGAACCCATTAGCGCCTCACAACTCGGTCATCACTTGAAAACAAAGACGTTTTTATTATATTCAACTGTGAGAGAAGGGATTCTCGTAGTTCCATCAAAATAACTGGCATGACACTGCAAAATATTACTCAACTTAAGGCAGTGTCTCGGCAGAATTCGTATTCCAGTTTATCATCATTTCAGAGCCTTCTCGCCATGAGCAATCTACGTCTGGGCTTTTCCGCGCATGAAAATGGCAAAAATGAGCTCTTTCCGAAGCTTTCCAGGTCCGCATTTAATGGAGAAAACGTGCGAGTGAGCGGGGCGCGAGGGCTACCGGCAAATCCACTGTATGTGGACCTGAAAAGCATCGAAATAAGCTCATTTTCGCCATTTTCAGGCGCTGAAAAGCCCAAATATGGGTTCCTTATGGCGAGAAGGCTCCGAAAAGGTGGAAATCTGGGAGACAAAATTTTGCCGAAACACTGCCTTCAAGGTAATGATTATGCCTAGAATGTACCATTTATATTCGATGATAATGAGATTTTTATTCAAAAAAAAAATAGATATGTATAGCTGCTATGTTTTCCATAGTGATTCTATTGCTATTGACCACAGCACCACAGATTTCAGCGTCACTACGACGAGGCATCATCACATATTGTGGGAAAAAACAAGCTGTAGTTAGATTCCGGGAGAAAAAAAATTTCGCAATTAACACATTGACGACCATGCAGATTTTTGGTTGTCTGCCTTCTGGGACCAAGGCCTTTTATGGACCAGGCAACATTTTTCGACTATAGTCACGCATACTACCATCTACAGTACACCTAGAGCAAAGCTTAAATGCTAAAAGAAAAGGTAAAGGTCATCCCTAGATTCAGCGCAAAAGAAAGCTCATGGAGTGAGTTTATGCTAGGAGAGTAGCCATTTCAACAAAATTCAAGCCTTGACACACATGGTGTGTCAAGCGGTCCCACACGGTAGTCATTGCTTGACACACCATGTGTGTCAAGCGGTCGTCAATGTGTCAATCAAAGCGTGGTATCAACTTAGCGGCTGCAAAATCTGTTTTCAGTCTTTGAAATGCCTTGAATTACAGTCTTATAGCTCAGCAAAGTGACAAAATTTTGGACTCACAAAAAGAGCTAATTTCCTATAGGAGTATTACGGTTTCTCCCAAATCTGTATCAAAGTTCGAAAGAAGCGTGTTTTCGTTCGTAAGCAACGGAACAACCGCATTAGAATACGTCTTTTTTCCAAGGAAAAGAATCTCTGCTATTCGGACTCTACTAAGGACTGAATCTAATCCGCGACACAGCTAGAGGTATTTGTACTGAAGTGTCATAAAAAAGTAGAAGGTAGGTCATAAGAAATTGCTCGCATTCTATAATTTCAGTCCAGATGAACACCGGCTGATATGCCCATATGAGCCAGAATCTTCGAGTTCGTCTCAATTCGCCATAAGAATTCTCATCATTTCATTAAGTCTTCTGATACACATACTCTAGGTTTGGTATAAACGTGCCTCCAACTATTTACTTGAATATTGAGTGTGATTTCAAGCATGCCTGTACATATGATATCCCTTTGGTGCATATTTTAATGCTTGTTAACAAATGAAGAAAAAAATGACTGTACGCTGAGGTAGTTCTTTTGATGGATGCGATTCTCAGGGTGTTCGTCGCAAAACCATGCGGTTCCTTTCGTCCTTCATTTTTCAGTTTGACTGCTGCTAGACATATTTAGTATTATATTTCCATCATCGACCGTATATACGCACTCTGGACCCCACTTATATCCGGAGAAACATCAGACAGATAAACACAAAATCCTTTCCAGTAATCGTGTTCTTCTTTAGTCTGTTACCCTAGCCAAAATTACAAATGCAGGTGACCGAAGTTCTTACTGTATTTGCACGAATTCCACGTGAAAAATCAAACATCACTGAGTAACTAACCGTGCAGTGTCATACCTATCTCTCACGTATTGTTCCCCGAATGACCAAAGTCATGCGCTCTACGAAAAGAAAAAAGAGATGCATGATGGAATGCATGGAATTCGGACAAAAACCACATGACCGACACTGCGCAGATCTTGGCCTGATCGCCTAGACCTGTTGGCGTCAAATCAACAAAACTTGCGGCTATTTGTCTTTTTCAGCCTTTCACAGATGAGTAAACATCGTCGGTCGTAAATTGCAAGGAATTTCTGGACTTCGACGAACTCGACATTTATGATCAGAGATGAAGAAACAGATCGTAAATGTAGTCATCTTTTGTCTGGAACATCACAAAAAGATAGACTTCTCTCTGGTTTGTGTAAAACAAATTCGCTACGCTTAATTACACTCAAAGGCCTTAGCCCACTTTAATTTAGATGTTCCAGAAT